TCATAACATTCCTCTAGTGCTATGAAGTCATACGAAACCTCCCCTGAGCTTCAGAAAGGTAAAAGATTTATGCAGTCTAAAGAGAAGCCACAGTATCCCCAAGCTTTAAAATCCTGCATATAGAAATCCAGTCGTGGCAGGGAAGGCTTAGTGAGTCTTCGTGTACATAAGTGTCTAATATGTGCTCAGCAAATAAATTGGTTCTATCATTTCTCTCCGTGACACATTCAGTTTTTCTTAATCATTAACAAATGTTGAGATCCGAATGCTTCTCTCTAAAATGGCCAGTTTCCACACATTGATCCCTGCTGAAAACCTGGAGATGTGAGCAGATTGTAAATCAGTAATCCCCATCTTAGCTTTATTACCTGGCACCTGAGTGTCGTTTATCCATGAACACAGCCAGGGACTCTCCCCCCCGGCCAAGGGTAACTTGGGACCCTAGCATCCTAGCACTGTATGACTTGGAGGGAAAGCAGACGTCAGGAAATGACTGCGCTCTTCCCGTTTGGAAAGGAGCGTGTGACCATTTCAGGCAGCAGTGACCGAGAGGATCTGTTGATGTAGCTGAGGATTTAGAACAATAGAGGCATTCTGGAGTTACGCACAAAGGTCACCACTATACATCTGTGCCCTGACCAACTTGGCTTTCCTCTTTTATTTTTCCTCCCTGGCACTGGAGATTGAAACCAGGGCCTTCACACTGAGCTACAGCCCCAGTCTATCTATTTATTTATTAAAAAAAATTTTTTTTTTGTACTGGGGCTCAAACTTGGGACCTTGTACTTGTGAGGCAGGTGCTGTGCCACTGAGCTAAGTCTTGAAAATTTTGACACATGACTTGCTAAGTCACCACAGTGCCTAGGCGGGCTTGAACTGGTGAACTTGGGGTCCTTCTGCCCCACCCTCCCAGAGTGCTGGGATTGCACGTATTACCACGCCCAGCCTTTTGTCTTCCTTTTTACAAGTACAGTTTTACAACCAAGGAAGTTGTGCAGTGAACCCTAAACATTTGGCAAAGGATGTCAGAGTTGATGTACTAGAACTTTGGTCTTGAAACACTTGGAGTCTCACGGACCCGGAAATGACTTTCTTTCTGCTGCATTGATGATCTCATCTGTCGTCCCTGGTAACCTAGCAGTGAATCAGTGGGTGGCTCTCAAATCAAAGTGGGCTTTGGACACCTTCTAATTGCTCAGACCAGGGCTTTGGGACCCAGTGATGCCTGAATGAACTTTGGGGCTATGGCTGCCAGATTAATGGAAAATGTAACTCAAATAAAATAAAGTAAAAGTACATACCCAGACCTACCTTAATTAAGCCAGGCATGGTGGCTTACACCTGTAATCCCAATACTCCGGAGGCTGAAGCAGGAGGATTGCCACAAGTCCAAACTACATAATGAGTTCAGAGCCAGCCTAAACTACAAAGTGAGACCCTGTCTCAAAAACAAAATAAAACCAAAAAACCAAAACCAGACCTATCTTATTTTTGTTTAAAACACATAAATGTACATTTAATAACAAATAATTTTAAGAATACACTCAAAAAATACAGAGGTTGATTTGAATAAAAATATTTTAAAATCTTTGTTGCTTACATCATAGCAATCACATGTCTATGATTTTCAGTTTTGGGTTCTTTGAACTGGAAAAAGGATTTAAAGACTTTGGTAGAATGGTCTAAAGACAGAATCCTTATAAATATTAATGAAAATGGCCTGATCTTTTCCACTTGTTTCATCCATGCCTGGTCCTACAGCAATTTCGTGTAGGGAATTGGCTCAGGTCTTTCCAAAGCTACAAATTTCATATATATCTTTTTTTAAAAATTTTTTTGTACCAAGGATCAAACTTAGGACCTTGCATTTTGAGGTAGTTGCGGGTGCCACTGAGCTAGATCCCTGACCCATTCATTTATATTTTTTAGAAAATTAGTTTCTCACAGTACTTGTTTTTGTTGGCTATTATTATATTTAAATTAATTATAATAACATGTATCGGATTGAGGGAAAATAACTTTGTCTTTTTAATAAAGGCTGTTAGATTTTAACCTGGGTAGACTACCCGAGAGCTGGTTCCTGAGCTCCATACCTGGAGTTTCCTACCTCCCTGACCTGGGCGGCACCTGAGAACTGGCTCATTGACAACTTTTTTTTTTTCATACGTGGATTGAACTCAGGTGCCGGAACCACTGAGCTACATCCTGGGCCCCACTGACAAGTTTTTGAATGATGGTTGCTGCAGCCACTTCCCAGACCGCACTCTCAGAACCAGAGCTTTCTAAACCCGGCCTCAGGCAGGGGAGCAGCGCACAGGTCCTCAAGCACAGGCTTTTGCGCTGCCTTGAGCACAGGGTCTGGCATGTTCTAGGCTTCGGGCTGCAGATCATGTGTGAAGAAAGTGTGGATGGATCGAGAGTTGGCTAAACGGGGGTCAGTTAAGGGGCTGCTTAAAATTGCTGTACAATTTATTTTATTTTTTTTTAACACTTGGGCCAGCGTTGGCTACCTATTCTGTGGAAGAAGAGAATTCTGGGAAATTTGGAATGCGTAGTTTAGATCAGAGTCCTAAAAAAAAGATGGGCCAGTATCATACATACACAGTGTCCCTGCAAAGGACGGAAGTTGGTGGGCTCAAGGATGGCATCTTTTGGTTTGTGAGAAGCTCAAGAGAGAAGTACAGTCTGAGTTTCTGTCTTTTTGGAACAGTGACTTGGTCCCTCGTCACCGCAGCATCATCAGTGTGCTGGAACCGAGAAGCCAGATGAGCAGCCCCTCCCTTGGAGGGGACACTGAGATGTGGGTGACAGACCAGACTGGCCGACTGACGGTGGAACCATGGCAGGGCTAGGAAGCTTCCAAAATGGTGGGCCAGGCCAGTGGGAAGGGTTTGAAGGAGGGGACTGCCAACAGCTAACATAAGCCTGTGTGAGTGAGTCACAGCACGGCCACCTTCTCTGACACAGACTGGGGTATGTGCCGGGCTGATGCTCCTTAGTCTCAGCATCCCCGACATCACCAGTAATTAGTTTAACAACCCATTGGTTCTTGAAAGATGAGAAATTAACTTTTAGGAGGCTTTGGTGCCAGCTAGATATTTATATTATGACCCAACCCAGCTAATGTCCCATGACATTCAGACCCGAGACAGTGTCATCTTGTTCCCACCATCATGACAACTATGAGGTACTCTTAGAACTGTTCAGAGCGGTGAAGTTACAAAAAATAGTATATTAGACAGAAACTTAATGAAAAATTACAACACAGGCAGTTTCCCTTTAAAAACCTTTAGCTTTTTTCTTCGCCTCTATTGGTTATTGTGTTAACTGTGTTACTGTCTTCTCCCCTGGATAATTTCTGCTTTTAAGAAATCATACATGTGTATTCATTTGTCCTTGTTCTTATTTACAAATGATTGACATTAATGTATCCCAATACATTGTAGAGAGAAACATTTTCTTGAAGAAAAAGAAGGTTGCACATAATTTTACCACCTTAACACAGCAAGCTTTCTTATTTCTAATTTCCTGGCTCTGCCTCAGAAAAAGGATATAATCTCTGTGAAAATACAGTTTGGGATCTACTGTTTTTCACCAGATTTGGTTTGTTTGTGTTCCATTTTACAACTAGGTCATCATAATGATAACAGTAGGTTTTTCTCAGATGAGAAACCCAAAGTGAGCAAAAAAAAAAAAAAAAGAAAGAAAGACGATAGGAAACGGGGAAGTAGACCTTCTGCGGGTGGAAGGGGACCTGGGGTGAAGGGAGACCAGAGCTGGGTGGGGGATATGAAGGCCTAAGGTGCAACACACACACACACACACACACACACACACACACACACGCATACACACCCGCGCGCACACACACGCGCACGCACACACACACGCACATGCACACACACGTGCACGCGCGCGCACACACGCACACACACATGCACGCACGCACACGCACACACACACACATGCACACACACACACACACGTGCGCGTCAGCTCTAAGTCCTCCCTTTCCCTCGCTCACTTCTGATCCACCCCTCTGCACGTCCACCCCGTGCTTTCGTTTCCCAGGCTACCGTCCGTGACAAAGCACCACGCACATGGGCAGTGTCTCAGAGTACGGTGGCTGGACCTCTGAAATCAGGGTGCTGCCTCTGGTTCCATATGAATTTTAGGACTGTTTCTTCTAGTTCTGCGGGGAACACTGTCGGTATTTTAATTGGGATTGTGTTAAATCTCTATATCAGTTTTGAAGGATGGCCATTTTGAGAATATTGTTTCTGCCTGCCCTGAAACAGGGGCTGTCTTCCCACTTTCTTTTTCCTTTTTTTTTTTTTTGAGACAGGGTCTCACTACGTAGTTGAGACTGACCTGGAACTCACTACGTAGCCCAGGCTGGTCATGAACTCACAGCGATCCTCCTGCTTCAGCCTCCCGAGTGCTGGGATTACAGGTGTGCTTCACCACACCCGGCTCTTCCCACTTTCTGATATCCTCTTTGATCTCCTTTTTCAGAGAACTGTAGTTTTTGTGGTAGAGATCTTTCACTTCCTTAGCTAGATTAATTCCTAAGTATTTAATTTTTCTTGATGAAGTTGTGAATAGTATTGGTTTCTTCATTTTTTTCTTGGTGGGTTCATTATTGATGTACAGGAATGGCACTGATTTTTGTGCGTTGAGTTTGTATCCTACTACATTGCTGAATTTGCTTATGAATTCTACCAGTCTTTGGTGGAAGATTTTGGATCTTCTATGTACAAGATCATGTCATCTGCAAATAACAATAATTTGACTTTTTCCTTTCCTATACATACCGTTTTCTTTCTCTTGCCGGATTGCTCTGGATAATGTTTCAAGGACTGTGTTGAACAGGAGTGGTGATAGTGGCCATCCTTTGTCTTGTTCCTGATTTCAGAGGGAAAGCTTTCAGCCTCTCCTCATTGAACATAACGTTGACCTGAATTTCTAACTGAACTCTGAATGTGTTATGTTTTCTGCAGCTGTGGACTACTGCAGCTTGGAAGACCACGGATGTGAACACGAGTGTGTCAATGCAGATGGCTCCTACTCGTGCCAGTGCCGTGAAGGATTTACTCTTAACCCAGATAAAAAAACATGCACAAGTAAGTTGAAACTCGCACACACACATTTGCACCGTTACTGTGGGAACTGTGGCTGTGGAAATCTCCCAGGCGTAGATTCCCGTAGGGCTACATCCTGGAGGTCCGCTCCCTTCTGGCCCGAGTCCTCCGTGCCAGGCCCTTCTACGCTGTCTAAGGCTGCAGCCTCCTACCACTCCCCATCACGAGTCGAGGTGTCTGGTGAAGATATCTTTTGATGGAAACCACATTTGGGCTTCCCAGTCCAGCTCAGAGCATGCCACTAACCAGACCACCTTACTTCGCCTCCCTCAGCCTTGCCCACCCATCGATATTAGCAGAGCTTGAGGAATATTTTCAGCAAAGCTCTGTGGCTTGTGGGCTCCAGCTCTGACTCCACACAGTGCTAGAAACCTGCTGAGCCAGAAAGAACTGAACATGGCTTTCCTGGGCAGGGTAGGGATAGCTGGACAGCCCTTTTCAGAGCACTGCTCAGCTTTTGCTGTAGCTATTTTGTTCTGTTTGACTTATGTTCCCCAAATCAGAACATACAATCTACAAAGTAGAGGCGATCGCCAGTTTTACAAAAGGATTCTGACAGTGTTCTTTAGATGTGGAGTGTGTGGTAGCACGTTAGGACTTGCATGTGCCTGATTATCCCCATGTGTGGAGGGTCGCTTGGGAGAGGTTTCTTAGTTGTCAGGGCCCAGTATTTTTAAGAGACAGAGTTTAATAAGATATGGCATCTCTGAAACGAGCAACAATGAACAGTCAGGATTTTAATTTATAAAAAGCTGCTGTACCTTCCACCTTTCTAAAATACATTCGTTACATAAAACAGGTTACACTTCTGTAATATATTTTTTTCAAAAAGCATCCCCTAAAACTTCCTTAAACATAAACATGTCTCCTATACTTTAATTCCTTAACTTCTATAGTTTATAACACCAGGGCTGGAGGCAAGGGGAGTATTGGAGAAGGAAGGAGTACAGTGAGTTAAAAACAAACATACACACATTTTGTGGCCGGGCATGGTGGTGCACGCCTGTAATCCCAGCACTTGGGAGGCTGAGGCAGGATAATCGCTGGGAGTTCACTGCCAGCCTGGGCTACATCGTGAGTTCAAGGCCAGCCTGAACTGCATACTGAGACTCTTTCCCAAAAAGCAAGACAAAACAAAGAAACGTACATTATTGGACTCCCAACCATGAGCCAACAGGAATGAATGAAGCAAAGATCTTTCTTGGAGGGGGAAACACTGGCTGGGTCTCGAGGGTGGAGCTGTCAGGCACCAGGTAAAGGAGGAAAGATGTGCCAAGACCCAAGACGCGGGGCCTGCAGCGAGGACAGGCATGGGGAGAAGTAGAGCAGGGGGCAGCCTGCCTGCTGCTGTGGTGGTCAAGGATTTTTAGACATTTTTTTCTACTTCTTATAAGTTTCCAAAAAAATCAAAGAGCCTCAGTTCCTTGCATTTCAGTCTCTATTTCTAACCAGAAGTGTAACTGAAAGCTTGTTAATCCAGTTAGTGAGTGCACAGTTATTGTCTAAATAAGGTGTCCTAGTCAACGTGATATGCCAAGCGTGAGTAATTCATGATTAGGCCAAAGTGTACATAATTAGGGCTTTAAGCTCCCGAATGAGTGATGTGATTTATTTATTAATTTATTGGTTTTTCTGAGACAGGGTCTCACTGTGCAGTTCACACTGCCCTGGAACTCACTATGTAGCCCAGGCTGTTCTCAAACTTGCAGTGATCCTCCTGCCTCAGCCTCCCGAGTGCTGGGATTACAGGCATGCGTCACCACAGCCGGCTACTGATGTAATTTAAACTAGCTAAATGATATCAAAAAATGCATCAGCTTCTATATCAGTTCCTTATGCTCAAGCAGCCTGTCCAAACCCATGTGAACATTCTGTGGGAGAAAGAGTGGAAAAATCAGCTACCATCGATTTGCAAAATATTGGTAAGATTTTTCTTGGTAAAATGTGCTTTGCATAAAATTTAGCACTGTAACCCATTTGTGTGTGTGTGTGATTAAACCCAGGGTCTCACATACAGTAAGCCTGCTGTCACTGAGCTATATCCCCAATTTTTAATTTTGTGGCAGGGTCTCACTAAGTTTCCCAAGCTGCCCTCCAACTTGGGATCCTCCTGCCTCAGCCTCCTGAGTACCTGGGCTTACAGAAATGTGCCACTTTGCCCAGCCGCACGACCGTTATGAATTGTACAGTTCCGTAGCTTTAAATGCATTCACATCGTTACGTAACTATCACAAGCATCCATCTCCAGAACTTTTTCATCACCTCAAATGGAAGCTCTGGTTCCCTGATCCACACCCACAGCCAGTCCCTGCCAACCATTGTTCCACTGTGTCTGACTTTGACTTTCCAGGGACTTTGTGTTTGTAGAATCGTGCAGCGTCTGTCCTTTGTGACTGGCTCCTTTCATCTAGCATGCCATCTTCAGGGTTCTTCCATTATTGCACCTTCAGAATTCCCTTTAATTCTGAATAATATTCCATTTTGTTTACATACCACATTTTGTTTTTCCACCTTTAGGCTGTTGTGAGTCATGCTCCTATGAACTAGGGTGGACAAGTGTCTATCCGCGTCCCTAATTTTCATTGTTTTGGGCACCTACGTTGAAGTAGAATTGCCAATCCACCAGGCTTTGTAGCACACGCCCACAAGCCCGGCACTTTGGAGGCCGCGCAGGAGGACTGCTACAAATTCAAGGCTATAGCAGGACCCGGACAGAGACAGCGACAGAGAGAGAAATAAAAGAAGTAGTTGTCAGGCTTCCTGGCTAGGACATAGCTGACCTGCTACCTTCCTAGGGATTGCAGTGTGCCCTGCGGTTATTGACAGCTGTCAGTTGGAAGGAGCCTTCATGTGCAACTTGGATCTTGCCCGCCTGCCCATCCTTCAGTGTCCTTGCTGTGCCACGTCCGGCATGCACTTGCCCACCCCCACCAACAGGACACTCACTGTTCCCGCTTGTCCCCCTCGTCCCCTCCTAGAAAGTGAGTCTTCACACTGAGCTGGGATCCGCCTCCCTGTGCCTAGGGTCCAAGGGAGCAAATCCTGCTTCTCCGCTTCTTTGTGGCCACTCAGAATGAGTCAGATCAGAATGACATCGTGTAGTCGACCAGCCGGGCACAGAAAATGCACAGCCACAGACTAGGCCCCAGTACATGTCTGCCCAGCCTGCTGGAGTGAGACTAGACGAGAGACAGCACTGGGCGGAAGGGCGATTGCCTGGCTGGCCTTGGAACCTGCTGGATGCCTGTCTCCCAGGATGCTGACCGCCAGGCTGGATCCGCCCAGAAAGAGGTTGCTTTGTTTGATTTGTTTTTGTTTTGCTTTTTTTTGGTTTTGGGTACTGGGGATTGAACACAAGGCCTTCACACTGAGCAATATCTCTAGGCACTTTTAAACATTTTCACTTTCGAGATAGGGTCTTGCTAAGTCTCCAAATGCTTGAATTCTGCAATCCTCCTTCCTTAGCCTCCTAGAGGGCTGGGACTGCAAGTATTCACTACCTGTAAGGAGATTTTCAAACAGCCAGGCAAGAGGAAGCCTCAAGGAGGGCAAGAGAGCTGTCTTCCCTTGCTAGTGACTGTCATGGGTCTGAAGCTCAATGGAGCACTCTACCGGGAGTAGTGCCAGTAACCATTTAGTATGAAACAGAGACTTGTGGAGTATCTGCTCTGTGCCAGGTGCAGATATAGACACAGGGCTTATAGCGGGACGTAAACAAAACAGCTCTGTCCTTACAGTGCTTGTGTTGGGTTGGAGCAGGGTAAGAAAAGCTACCGTCTTGAAGAGAAAGTGATGTTTGGTCACAGTCTAGCACGGGAGGAGAGAGGAAGGAGACCTTGGAGGCAGAGGGAACGTAGCACCATGCAAAGGCCCTGAGGCAGGAACTGTAAGGCACAGCAACGTTGAGGGGCAGCAAAGAAGCCTGTACACAAGGACACAGTGAGAGGCTGTGATGTCCAGAGCACTTAGCCTGAGTTGCAGTGATGCCTGTGAGCTTCTGCTTGCTCTCCTGAGCTGAGGGCTCATGCTGTTTGTTGACTGGACCCTGTGTTTTGGCCAGAGGCATCTGTAACTGTATATATCATTCTCAGCAATGTTCTTCTCTGGTTATTTTCTTCTCCAAGTCTCTGGGCACCTCCTACACTGTTCTTTTTCTATATTATATCTGCTATTTTCCATGGCAACTAGTTTTGTAATTATGAGTTTGTATATTTATTAATATTTTTCTGATTGCAAAAGTAATAGACTTACTGTAGAAAACTGGTCTGCATAAAAATGAAATTATATAAAATAATCTCTGATCATCCAGATGTAGATTTTTTCCTGTTTTTGTTTTTTTGTTTTTGGTTTTTTGAGATGGTCTCACTATATAGTTGAGACTGACCTGGAACTCACTATGTAGCCCAGGTTGGTCTCAAACTCATGGTGATCCTCCTGCCTCAGCCTCCCGAGTGCTGAGATTATAGGTGTGTACCACCACACCCGGCAGGGATAACTTGTTAATAGTAATTTGGTACATTTCCTTCCAGATTTATTTATTTATTTTATTTATTTTTATTTATTTTTATTTTTTATTTTTTTTAACATTCAATGATTTATTTAATGTAATTTTAATACTCATTGTAAGCTAAAGACAATAATAATTTAATGCAGTAAGCTAAGTACACACAAAAGCTGTGTGTCCTGAATTACACAAAGGAGTTTCTATGGCCACATATAGTTTCAATCAAGTATACATTTCCATAATGAGCAACTACTTACAAATATGTTAATATAACAGTATTCCAAATGCTTATTTTACCATTATTCTTTTAGGCATTGATCACCATTGCTACTACTAAAAGCATTTAAATTTAGAATGTTTGATCTGGGAAAATTAGTTCTCCTAAAACTTAGCAAATACCTGTAGTATGTTAGAAGCCAAAATGCTTTTAAATCAACAAAAGATTTAACACAGGAGCACTGACATGAAATTTATTTTG